CTCAATATTATTTGAAATCACATCATGATTCCTGTTTATATAATTGGTTTCCCACATACCATAAAAGTGGGAAAGGATAATGCGTTTTCATGAGGTCTTCAAGAGTGATGAATGTTCACTAGAAAACCATCATTTCCATCTACAGTTTTCAAAAATTAAAGTCTAATTTTCCCTAATCAAAAATTATCCAATCCAAATCAACTATATTGAATTTAACTTTTTTTCCAAAAATTAAAAATTGCTAATGCTATTTTTTCATTTGTTCATATGATACCTATAGTTTCCTGATTAAAGTTTTCTATTGTAAGTTTTACTTTTGTAATAAAAGCTATAAACAATCTGTACACTGAAATAGCATATTGTGCTGTTATTTTCTATGTCCATTGGTATTTTAAGAACAATTACACATACCAACACATGGTCATATCTATAGAGACAGACACAAAGAAGTATAAATGGAGACACAAGTGTCCAAGATGAAGATAGCGATATGCAGATGTTACTCTGTAATGTGAACTGTAACTTTTCTGGATGTTTTATATATGGCTTAACTACCAGTAAAGTGATAAATATATTTGAGTTTTTATATATGTTATTTTGAAATAATATTTTGCTACCTTATGAATCTATTACAGTATTTGTCTCTGGTAGAAAAAAAAGGAAATTATAAAAATAAATTTGCTTGACCTTCTGGGGGAAATCTTCCTTTAAGAACTTTTTGCTCCAATGTCTCAATTGTATGAAATAAATGCATTTTATATCATGTCTTTGAATCATGAAGGTGAATATTGGTACCCATTTGCCTGGACTACACTTTGGTTTACACATTGTTTGTTGTGTCTTCCATTATGCTGCCTTCCTGTAAAAATTGCTTCTTGTTTTTTTGTGAATTTCCAATGTCATGTTCAACTAAATATGAGGAAAAATCCATTCTGCATTGGGTACTCTATTAATAATACGTAAATTCTGGCAAGTACAGTATACTCCAAAATAGGTTTTGCAGATGGAGTCTTCTTTCAAAATATTTAAGAACATATTAAACTTTTATACTCAATATTCGAGAACTATTAGTTACCACCATTTATATTATAACTTGAAATATGTATTTTGAATAAATAATAAAATGAAGTCATTCATGCTCTTCAGGACTGTAGAGCCAAATCCCCAAAATTGACATGGGGAGCAGACAAGTCAATCCATTCCTATGAAATAATTCCATGCTAATGTTTCATTTATTAATTAGAAAAATCAAGAACTCCCTTACTTATTAACTTAAATAGAAGAGAGTTTTCATCTCTTCCTTCAACTGATCTATAATGTTCTATTCAATTAAAATTAATAGAAAACAAAATGAAAACACTTGCATTTGACTTTAAGAAAATATACAGCTGTCCTTTCACACACAGAGAGAGCGATTAACACAAACAATACCTCCTAATGTTTCCATTTTCCCTCTGTATCAGTAAGCTCCATTATCATGACTTACATTTAGAGATATGTTTCTTAGTAATGCTAATACGAAATTTCTTGGTTACATTCCAGAGATTGAACTTTCATTCAGGCGGTTTGCATTTGTAATGTGACTATAAGATCAGCTCTTAGTAATGCTAAATTTAGTGATAAGTACATTAATATGTTAGGACTGTTATGGAAAGGTATTAAAGTAATATAAAGATACTCTTCTCACTGTATGCTCCTTACATCCTTTAATAATGTGGATATGGTAGTTCTAGGCAGAGAAACTGAAGTGCCTCTTAAGTGAAAAACTTTTGTAGGATATTTAAACCACCTGGGAGTCACTGTTATCTACCCATATCTATCTATCTATTTCTTTCTTTCTTTCTATCTATCTATCTATCTATCTATCTATCATTTATCCATCTCATCTGACTGTCTAATCTATCTTCCTAATCTTATTTTCATAAATTAACATGTTGCATTTCCATTGGCATGGCTAGTTTTTCATGAACAATTTGACAGCCTTGGATATAAATCATGATCATCCTAAGCCTACTTCTCATGTATAGAATTAGAGTAGTTAAGTTCTAAAATTTCTAAATAAGATAATGTCATCAATATTAAAACATTGTTTAGAATGTATATAAACAGACAAGTCATTTCTGTAAAGAAATATGTAATATGTAGAGAAAGAAATTTCTTTATCTTAGGAAACATGTCATGTTCCACAACCAAAGTCATCGTATTGGTGAAGTTAGCATGAAATAAAAACAAACAAAAAAAGTCATATATAACCCATGTTCTTTTGGTACTGTTTCTTCCTTAACAAAATCTAACTTTAACAAGATTTTACAAGAAGTAAAATACCAAAGAATCTAACCAGAGTTTTTGTTTCAAATTACTTCATCAATAACCAAACTCACTCCGCAGTATGTATTGATATTGAAGTTAAAAGCATAAAGATACTTTTTTTCAAATGCAATGTCACTTCTACATTAATATCTAAATTTGCATTTCAATGACCAATATTACTTTTAAATAATACAGCAAACTATGATCAGTTGTCCTGAAGCATCTATACCAATGTTAATCAAGTAAGAGCCAATGTTTATTCATGACACAGTTACATGCATAGTTAAATTAAATTTTCCCTTATATTACAATTTGTTGCTTATTATATATTTCCACATTATCAAATATTTTATATATTTTATACATTTAAACATTCTCCAAAGTATTCTAAAACTCACAGATTTTAAACATGTTGTGGTGAAGGAGTATCATTGTTGTTACCCCAAAAGAGATAAATCAATAGAAAAACTAAGCCTATAATTCTTATTATTTTTAATTCTCACTTGGTGTATGTACCATGTAAGGAAACTGCATTGGCTAAGCTCTGTGTGTATAGGGGTTACAGGAAAATACCAGATTAAATCTCCCCATGCAAGGTGACATTCAGAAAAGCTTCTGATCCAACACACACTCTCTCAAGTTGAGGCAATGTAACATTTAAAAATGTAATTTCAAAATCAACTTTGATATTATGATCTTTTACACAAAAGAAAAGGCTACAACAGACTTCAATACTGAAAAGAATGTAGTCATGGTCACATAATTATATATACCATTGTAAATATTTAAACACCAAAATAGTAAACTAAAGGAAAATCGTGTTTCCATTCTAGAAAACAATATTATTAATATGAAATTTACCTTACAAGAACTACCAAATTTATCAGATTTCAAATTAATGAATTACATTTAAACTGATTATTATTACTATCTTCTGTCTCTAAAGAATTTATTATTTCAGGAATTAGATTTGCTCATAACACATACTTTGTCTTAAATTTTGTCACTTTTAGAAGCAATAAGTATAAACATGCTAACATATCAACATGTCTACCTATATCTATTGCATGTATATACTTATTTCTGTATCCTTCATTTGAGAAAACTTCAGTTTAACCCATAATATATTTGGTAGCAACAGTATACATGCACACTGGCCCTGTTATCTCCAAGTTGTTTGATGCCAAGTGCTGGAAAAGAATGTTATTTCATTTTCTTTACCTACCAAAAGATTAACTATTAAAACCTGTATTAACCAGTTGCATAGTTACACAGACACATTCCATACTTGACTTAGCATTGCCTAGGTGATGTAGCAGTGTATGAATCTGAAAATAGGATCCAACCTCTCTTGAACGCTGGCTTTTTCCCAAATTAAGAACATTGAATAATCAGATTCATTCTTAATCAGCAGTGGCTGAAGATGGGAGCTGTACCAATTTCATAGATAAGGCAAAGGTCCCCCAAAAGAGGATTCCTTCCTGTTACACAAAAGTTATCAATATCTTGATGTCACAAAATCAATCATTCTTCATGCCATATAGATTTCAGAAATCTTGTTTAAAATAAATTTATTTGGAATCTCATATATCTGCAACCTAAAAATATTAAATGACAGCAAAACTCCAAAACAGCACAAGTTTCTGCTCCATTATATTCCCCCAAAAGTTGATCATACAAATAAATGTAAACTTATCTATGACTATTGATAACTTTGCACATTTGTCATTTAAGACAGATTTTGAGAACCTTACCTTGCTAACAGTATTTAACTAAAAATTCCACAGAATTTTGATAGCTTTATCCTTAAAATTCATCAAGTCTTGTTTTGAAATTATTGCTTGCAAAAACTGAGTTGATGTGAATGATTATATTGAAGGTGCATTTGAAAAAACAAAATATTGCCCCATCATATCAGTGCATTTTCCATGTCACTTCAAATTTTAGAAACGATAATCTTGCTCCTGAAGCTCTCCCTTTCCTGTGGTTTCCTTCAATCTTTGTCATATTAATATGTATTTACCCAGGAAACAGACTGCAATTAGAACTAACAGACTTACACATTCAGAATGTTTACCTGAGAAACACAAAACCTGCTTTACCAGGTGAAGTTAATACCTTAATTCTCACATGCCAAATCCAGCTATATACATGATATTTGGTTCATGTCTTATTTCATTTTCAATATTGAAAATAAATAAATCACTTTTTATTAACTTATAAAGAGACCTTCTTTTTATGATTTTTACTCAATTCATTTAAAAAAGTTATGACAAAAGTACAAGTCCGTTTAATACAATAACATTACATATTTATAAAAGTATATGTGAATAATTCCAAGCCATTAGAGTCAACTAGTGGAATTTGAAGTTCAGTGTTATTTTTGTATACAGCATTTTTGTATATAGTCCTCTGCAAATTTGAGGACTAGAAAAAGAGCTTGGGTAGGTATCAGTTTTGTAAAAGTAAAATAAGAAGCAAATGTTGCATGTCTAGTCACTGAGCATTTAGATATTGCATTCAAATACTGCCAAATATATTCTTACCTGCTTCCAAATTTTGAAAGAGAGGGAGAGAAAGAGAGAGAGCAAAATATAACAACTAGGAGAAAAGCAGTATTTATACTATTTCATTATAAAGAAGCAAAAATGTAATAGCTTATATTGTCGAGCAAAGTAAATAGCCTTTACCTTGTTTAGCAATGGAACTGAGTTTAGTCCGGCTCACCACTGACAATTCCGTTGTTGATTCCGCCTCATTCCTTCTCTCCTCTTTTTATAGTATCTTCGCAGCTGAATCTTCATGCATCTCAGTGTGCCTCTCTCTCCAGCATCACTTTTAACTCAGACAGGCAGGGAGCTGAAGCCAAAGGAACTCTCTATCTGATTGGTTTCCATTCAGCGTTTCTGATTAATAAGAGACGTCCCTCAAATAGGAAGATATTGCCGTTGATGGCGCTGCGGGGCTTCAGGTTTGGGGTGGGAGACTTGAAGACCTCTCTGGGCTCAGTGATTTGCAAGCAAATTAAGTGGGAGGGCTCAGAGAGGAGAGCTTTGTCAAAGACCCCCTTATGAGAAAATAACCCAGTGTTGTTAGTGCAGGTTAATCAGTTCTGCTTAGTCTGTTTTCAATTGGGAAAGAAAGGTCACAGCATGTCTGTAACCTGTAAATCATCTGTAGAAAATATATATCACATGGAGAGTGCTGTTGCTCAGATGGAATTTTGTGTAGTCCCTGCAGAATACTCACCTTTTTCAATTCAATGCCAGAATCCCAAGTTTATCCAAATACATTCATCATTATTAATGACTGATTTTTATCTGTGCCTCTTATGAGTTTATAATCCAAACTGATCTTTTAAAAGCAGTAACTTTAAAATTTTTAAAGCATTGTCATCATGACACGCATGCTATTTTTTCAGGAAAAAATATGATTTCAAGTATAATTTCAAATTTCTAGAGTGCTAAGCTTCTTACTTGATAATGTAAAAGAGATTTTCACTTTCTTTGAAAATGTCCAAAAATAATGTGATCATAGCCACATCACAAAAACTACATGATCCACCTGTTAGAGTCCCTGCTGCATTGTACAGCTCTTAAAAAGGGTAAACGAAAGCAGAGTCAACCCTGCTTCAGAGGAGAACTCTCTTTAGTACTTCTGGAAATGGCACAATAAGGAAGATATTGATTGCTAGATAAATCCTTCTGAAAAGGAGTTCTAGGAATGGTTGTGTAGAAATGCACGGTGGGAATATGGCTCACTTTATAACGGCTCGTTAAGTCACAGTAAGCAAATAGCTTATCTGCCAACAAATATCAATATCTTATTTGATGCTTCAAAGGAAAAGTGACTTTTGGGGGGGAGGTTATGTAAAGTTGCATTTCCCAAACATTTGTTTTCCTTTTTTTAAAATGAATTTTCATAATGCACAAGCTTAGATAGGCAGCTCTGTTATCCACACTTCATGGAGAAACTTCACATTTGGAAAAATGAAAAGTTGAAATATGACAATAGGAAATAAAAATGATACTATTAATGCCTAGTGATTGAACCTGGAGGGAATAGTTTTAAACTAATTGTAGATTTGAAGTGTAGGAGGTGTGGAAAAAAACGTTATTTTCATTTTGTTCACCTACAACCGAAGGGAGAGAAAAGAGAAAAAAAAATATGCGTATTCCCAGGGCTGCATAGATTCAAGTGGTTAAGAAAGCTTAGCAAATCCTTCCTGGAGGCCACACCTGTTTTCTTGAGGCAAAGACACCCAATTTAAAACCCACAGACTCTTTGGATTTATTACTTCGAGGTATATGTGTTCCTTTAAATATACGTATACATTATAGAAGCTTCTCTTAACACCGAACAAAGTAACATATGTAAAGTGGGAAAAAGGAACCAAGGAAAATATTTTATCAGAATTTAAGGTAAGTATTCATGCATAAAAGCTTTAAATGCCTAATGTTGCGTATATTTAACTTCCCACTGAAACCCAACTGAAAGGAAAGACTGTCCTGTGTGAAATCCACATTATAACAGAGCATTCTATTACCCAATTTGAAGTTATTTTTACTAAACCTAGGAAATGGGGAAACACTGGTGTTGCCATGTAAAAAAATGATTACTGACTCAGGGGTCTCTTTCTCTCATTTGTGATAGAACAATTTGAAAACAGCAGACATAAGCAACTGTTGAAAAATATTTTATCTCACATGTAGATTCTTAGAAATCTCAAATAAAAGTAGCAATCTAGATCACATAAAATTAGTCTTTAAGGAGCTGGCATTGTGACACAGCAAATCAAGCCACCGATTGGAAAGCAGTATCCCATTTTGGAGTGCCAGTTCAAGTCTCTGATGCTCTTTTTCCTATCAAGCTCCTTGTAAATGTGCCTGAGAAAGCAGTGGAGGATAGATCAGGTACTTGGGCTCCTGGCATTCATGTGGGAGACCTAGATGGAGTTTTGAATTTCTGATTTCAGCCTGGCTGTGTAGGAAATGAGCCAGTGAATGGAAGATCTATCTTTCTGCCTCTCTCACCTTCTCTCTTTTTCACTCTGCCTGTCAAATAAATCTTTAAAAATAGTTTTGTTTTGTTTTGTTTTGTTTTTTAATTTAAAGTAAGTAAGATGGATACTTAGGGGCTGGCGCCGTGGCTTACTTGGTTAATCCTCTACCTGCGGTGCCAGCATCCCATATGGGCACCGGGTTCTAGTCCTAGTTGCTCCTTGTCCAGTCCAGCTCTCCGCTGTGGCCCAGGAGGGCAGTGGAGGATGACTCAAGTGCTTGGCCCCTGCAACTGCATGGGAAACCAGGAAGAAGCACCTGGCTCCTGGCTTCGGATCGGCGCAGCACCAGCCATTTGGGGAGTGAACCAACAGAGGGAAGACCTTTCTCTCTGTCTTTTTCTCTCTCACTGTCTATAACTCACCTGTCAAATAAAAAAAAGATGGACACTTAGCAAGTAGGTTTGCACAAAAATATGGATCATCATCATTGTTTATGGTACTGGGATACATTTTCTCTTCTTAAGTATTTAGATATAAAATTCATTAGAAGTATGTATAAACTATTATTTAAATATTACCTTTTTATTTTTTAAAAGATTTATTTATTTATTTATTTGAAAGGCAGAGATACAGAGATACAGAAGCCTAGGGGCATGTTCCATTGCTTTTCTATTACATAGCAGAGAGCTGGATTGGAAGTGGAGCAGCCAGGTATCGAACCAGTGCCCATATGGTATGCTGGCACTGCAGGTGGCAGCTTTACCAGCTACGCCACAGTGTCAGCCCCTGAAGTATTACTTCTAAGACTGTTTGAATAAACTTTTAAAAATTCTTTGTTATGTCAAAGGTATTATTTTGGTGCAAAAACATTGTAATTTTTTCTTCTTTCTTCCTTTTTTAAAGACTTGTTTATTGATTCAAAGGGAAGATTTACAGAAAGAGAGAGAGAGAGAGGGGAGAGAGAGAGAGAGACATAAAGAGAGAAGGAGATATTGTCCATCTATCGGTTCACTTTCTAAGTGGTTACAACAGTCTGGGTTGGGCCACACTGAAGCCAGGAACCTGAACTCCATTCAGATCTCTTACGTGGATGGCAAATACTTGAGCCATTTTCTGCTACTTTCCTAGGAGCATTAACAATGAGTTGGATGAGAAGTGGAGCACCCAGAGTTCAAACCATATCTCAGATAGGATGCTGGCATTGAAAGAGGTGGCTTAACCAGCTGCCACACAATGCCTGCCCCTAATTGTTCTTTACTTCGTTGAATAAAATGCACCTGTATACTTGAGTACTCCATCTGTTTAATATTGTTCAAAACAATTGATGTATCACTGAAATCAGAAAATTCTATTTTTTCATATTATTACTATAAATAATATTCTTATATAATAATTGTTTTGAAATTTATTGAGAATGAAATACGTAAAAATTAGACATTGCTATTTTATCTTGTAATTGATATAGAAAATATAAAGAATAAGTTAATCAATAAAATAAATGTCATACTGTAGTGATTTTTTTTAAGCATGCAGTTGGTCCTGCAGCATTAATATAGGCCCAAAAAAGAATTGTAGTGGGAGAAGCTTGAGACAGAAGCCCCCTATGCAATGCATGAAAGTACTCACCTTGGAATCTAAGACTTGTTCAGTTCACAACTGAAACCAAAATTATTTGTACAATTCCATTTGAATGCAACTATTATAAATATATTTATTCAGACCTCAACACTAAGGGTTTATTCCAACATCTTAAAAATTAAACTGTATTCAGGTATTTAATAAAAGTTATAAATTCCAACTATTCCTTAAGAAATGATGTTTTAATTTTATCATTTTTCATATCTCTTCTTACATCAGGCCCTCACAGGAGTTTAAGGTTCTCTAATCATCTATCATAACTATGATTCTTAATATTACATGACTTGCAAAGTGTCTGCCAATAATAATTGATAGAATTAAAAAGAAGAGAATGATCCAACATGGGAAAAAGGACACACAACAGACTCATAGAATGACAATTGCCCTAAACAGCACTCTGATCTCAGAATCAGCCCTTAAAGCATTCAGATCTGGCTAAAAAGTTTTTGAGAGCATTTCAGGCATGGATACCAAAGACACTGTGGCAAAAATATGACCTACATGAAAGATCTCTGTGAATGAGATCCTGGTGGAAAGAAGGGGCCTCCAAAGAAGGAGGTAGCTTTCTCTGAAGGGAAGAGAGAACTTCCACTTTGACCATGGCCTTGGCTAAATAATGTCGGAGTTTGTGGACTCAAGAGGCTTCCACAGCCTAAGTAGCTCATGACAACAGCCTCAGGTGATCATTGACATCATAAATAAGAGTGTCAATTGTTAAATCAACAACAGGAGTCACCGTGCACTTGCTCCTTATGTAGGATCTCTGTCCTTAATGTGTGGTACTATGAGAATTAATGGTAAAACTAGTTTCAAACAGTACTTTATACTTTGTGTGTCTGTGTGGATGCAAACTGTTGAAATCATTACTTAGAGTTGATATTCTGTGTATAAATATAATTAAAATGAATTTTAATGAAGAATGAGATGGGAGAGGGAGTATGAGGTGGAATGGTTTAGGGGTTCAAGAGCAGGTATGAGGGGAAGAACCACTATGATCCAAAAGCTGTACTTATTAAATTTATATTTATTAAATAAAAGCTTTCTATACAAAAAATAAAATAAACATACAAAAATTTACATGACTTGTAGTTTCCTTAAAACTGATTAGAAGGCCGAAACTGTGGCACAGCGGGTAAAGCCGCCACCTGCAGTGCCAGCATCTCTTATGACCACCGATTTGAGTTCTAGCTGCTTCACTTCCAATCCAGCTCTCTGCTATGGCCTGAGAAAGCAGTAGAAAATGGCCCAAGTCCTTGGGTCCCTGCACTCCTGTGGGAGACTCAGAAGCAGCTCCTGGCTTTGGATTGGTGCAGCTCTGGCCATTGCAGCCAATCAGGGAGTGAAACAACGGATGGAAGACCTCTCTCTCTCTCTCTCTCTCTCTCTGTCTCTGCCTCTGTCTGTCTCTCCTTCTCTCTCTGTGTAACTCTGCCTTTCAAATAAATAAATAAGTCTTAAGAAAAAC